TGAGAAGCAAAGGTCTTCATTTAGCAGAGACCTGAGCAGCTCCTAGGATTCCGGCTATCCAGAGAACCTTATTAAGTGTTCAAAGCCGGGTCACCATGTGACTCCAGAATAGGAACCACTTCTGCGGGGAGAGGGAGAGGGAGAGGGCGAAAAAATAAATCTGTGCCAAAGATACTGAGATGGGATTTTTTAAGAACAACCTAAAAGTTTGCAAAGGCTTTCTATCTAAAACTGGACCCATGACAACACGTAAAGTTCTTTGTTTTTTTTTAAGATTTATTTATTTATGCGGGCTCTCCCTGGTGGCGCAGCGGGTTGAAGCACAGCACTAAGATTAAGCCACTTCCGCATGAGTTCGATTCCCGCCTGCCCGGGAGGAGATCCACATGGCGAAGCAGACCTCTCCTGACCCGCCTGCTGCTCCCCTCAGCAGTGGACTTCATCGATCTGCCTGTTCTGCTCCCCACTCTGTCTCTGGTGAATCCTCTCACCCTCCGCATCTCTGGCCTGTACCCCAGTTCTGTATGAATAAATAAATCTTTAAAAAAAAAAAGATTGACTTATTTATGCATGTAGAACTGGGGTACAAGCCAGAGGTGCAGGGGTGGTGAGCAGATTCACCAGAGACAGAGTGGGGAGCAGAACAGGCAAATCGACAAGTACACTGCTGAGGGGAGCAGCGGGTGAGACAGGAGGGGTCTGCCGCGCCATGTGGGTCAGCTCCGGGGCAGGAATCCAACTGGCACTGAAGCGGCTGCGGCCAGCTAGCAGTGCGGCGTCCCAACCCACTGTGCCACCAGGGAGGGCCCCAACATGTAATATTTTTTTGTTAAAGATTTATTTATTTGTGCATACAGAACTGGGGTACAGGCCAGAGGCTCAGGGGCGGCAAGAGGCTTCACCAGAGACAGAGCGGGGAGCAGAACAGGCAGATGGACGAAGTACACTGCTGAGGGGAGCAGCGGGCGGGCCAGGAGAGGTCTGCCGCGCCACCAATATGTAATATTTTTAAAGTGATGTTTGTTCAAGCATCTCCTCATGGAAAGCTACACACCCCCGGAATCCTACTAGATGACCATGACTGACAATGTGGGGTGGGGGTTGGTGTCTCTTTTTAGTCTTTTCAGCGGAAGCAAAATGGCCGAAAAACTGAAGGCCCCTGTGGAGTGGGGAAGCCACGGCGACAGGCCCTTGGGACTCATCTGAGGAGACATGGCTGGGTTCCTTCTAAGTGCTTCTGAAAGTGATAAATCACCTAAGAAGAGTTCCACAGAAAGGACTCAATCTCCAATGCTACCGTCATTTGTTGGGCTTCTTTTCCTATTCTCATTTTAATATTTGTCTCTGCGCCTGATTATACTACCAGATGGTTCCCCAGATTATATAACCCTCAGGCCTCCTTCCAAAACATACATATTTACATACATCCAACCATGCCACACAGTTCAAAGAATGCTCAATGGGCAGTTCCTTGTGTCTTTTTATTTTTTGCCTTGAAACTTTTTATTATAAATGAATGTTTATGACATTAATTATTGTTCATTATTGAAAATGCACCCAAAAATGAGTGGTGATTCGTTATGTTTCTATTTGAGATTCATTTATTTACGCATACAGAAATGGTACAGGCCAGAGGCACAGGGATGATGAGATGCTTCACCAGAGACAGAGTGGGGAGCAGACCAGGTAGATTGACACGTACACTGCTGAGGGGAGCAGCGGGCGGGTCAGGAGAGGTCTGCTGGGCCATGTGGGTCACCTCCGGGGCGGGGATCAAACTCATGTGGAAGTGGCTTTAGCATCTTAGTGCTGCGCTTTAACCCGAGGCACCACCAGTGAAAGCCCATTATCTCTCTATTTAAAGATAACTATTTTAACCAATTTTTAAATATACTTTTGACAGCAATCTTCATTTTCATACATTGTCCCCAGGGAGTTCCCACCACCAGTTCACCCATGTAACATCAACATAGGCCTGGTGCTCTTCATCCCTGTCTTGATCCGATTTCCTTCCCCAACCCCAGAATGTCTCTGGTTTATAGTTGCCTGTTGATTTTGACTTTACTTTGCTCCCAATAATTATAATTACTCCCCCCAATCCCATATTTTCATCCCCTACATTCCTTCTGTAAGAGAAACCATCCGGTATTGTCCTTTTTCTTCCTGGCTAATTTCACTGAAATGATCCCTTGGCAGTTCCTTATTTCTATCATTAAAAACATTTACAAGAAAACAGGATTCCATTTCACCTACCAGAGACTTGGTTCTGAATTAGGAGTTTCTGGCTTAAGAAACGAGAGAACAAACCAAGGTGGGAAAAGAGCTCCCTGTTTTCATCTATTTATGTCCAACACTATAAAGCAAAACCTTTGGCAGAAATGCCCCTCTCTGTGGTTCCCGCCATTCTAGGGGTCCACGTGGGCACAGCCAGTTTGACTGTTGCCCACCCTCCCCCCAAGATGCCTCAGCCCTGGGCTTATTCAAGCGGACACAGTAGAAACCAAGGGCCTCTGAGAGCCACAGTGCAAGAGCCACTCGCTGGCCTTTGTTTCCATCACAATAAGCTTCCTTGTGGAACGCTGATTTCTGCAAACTGTGAAATCTAACCTAAGTCTAACATAATGCAAAAACAAAGCATGAAAAAATAGTGTTTAATAGCTTAACATAAAGACTCTTGTCTGTATTTACACTGCCAGGCAGACAGAGTGGAGAATGAAACAACACCCCAGCCTGCTTCGGAGACCCTGAGAAGGAAAGGAAAATAGACTCTGCCGCATGGAAAAGCCCATCCCCAAAGCCCCTCCCTTATGTGGTCCGTGCAGCCCTGGCCACGTGGGCAGGGCCCTTTCCCAGATGGCTAGGTCTTGGGGGAGCTTCTGAAGGACAAAATGTATGTGCAAAAGGCATTTGGTAATTACTCACACCCTAAAGCTGTGGTCAGGAGCCTGGGTCAGCTCAGGGAGACAACAGAGTCCTGCCAGGATAGGACTCACTTTCTGGAAATATCCTGGTAGCGCAATGGGTTAATTAAGTCTCAGCACTATGAAGCTGTCACTAGCCACTACAGCACAAGTTCAATCCCGGGCCAGGGAGTGACCCACATGGTGCCGCAGACATCTCCTGTCTCACCCGCTGCTCCCCTCGAAAGTGGATTTCAGTTAATCTGCTTGTTCTGCTCCCCACTCTGTCTCTGGTGAATCCTCTCATCCCCTGAACCTCTGGCCTGTACCCCAATTCTTGTATGCATAAATAAATAAATCTTTAAAAAATAAAAGGAAAACACACATGAATTGAAAGTAGACAGTCCGTAGCTAGCTGACTGAGACACGTGCCAAGATGAGGAAGGCTTTCCAAACCTATGGGATTATAGGGAAACGGAAGCTTCCGCTGGTGCTCCCCCTTTTAAAAATTAAACCTACACCTCAGCATCAGATCAGAAGACATATTCTGCGATCCCACTATGTCTCACGTACTTGCTAAGCTATACTTTGCTCTCAGAACCTTATATTACCCCCTCCAGGTCTCCTCTCTGGGTTGGGTTTTCAGTCTACTCATTGCTAGAGCCATAAACAGCCCCCTGGGTCAGAGAAGAGTCTGTGCTCGCCTGGTTTGGAACTTGGGGCTCCCCCACTCTGAAGGTCGTGGTAGCCAAGAGGCACCCCAAGAACAAAAGGCACAGTCCAGGCTCCCCGAACAGATGGCTGGCTGCAGTTGTGACCCCCACACCTGCCCGACAGCCCTGGCCTAAGCCCAACCTCCTGCCAGCCCAGACCTTACACCCCTCTCAGATGATTGCTCCCCCAGAATCTAAGCAATTCTTGCAAAACCCACCAGGAAATCACCCAACTGCTTTGTGTTAACCTGACTTTTATGAAACTCCTTAGTGGAAAACCAATTTCTTCCTCTTCCCTGAAGCGCCAGGCCCAGTGGTTTGACCACAGGAGACTCCACAGCTCCTTGGCTCGATCCAAGGACCCAGGGGGAGATTGAATTGGGCCCGTTCCAGTTATTTTGGGGGAAATTACTTCAGACTCTCACACTAGGCCATGTAAATCCTGGCCTGTGAGACTGTATATTTCTAACTTTATGTTGTGCCTGTGGTGTTATGTAAAGATCAGTATTCCCACCAACTTCAAACGCAGCTCCCTGCGTGACGCAGCTCTGTGGGGGCACCGAACAAGAGAGAAACGGGTTCCACATGTCAGAAGAATCTCATCTACCCGAGTCCCCTTCAGCTGTCCCTTCTAAGAGTTCGTTTGCTGTATGCTACAGCATCGTTTTGTCCGTCTTTGGCAGTATCTGAAAATGATTCCTTTGTTTACCATACGTGCATGGTGAGGCGAAAACCTGGCGAAGGTTCTTTAAAATGTGGCTCTTCTAAAGCAGCCAACCAGTTAAGGTGCTTCATGCCCCGTGTGGGCACAAACCCAGCAGGGATCGTGTGGGGAGAGACCCACCTTTCAGTCTCCGGCCTGGTCTCTAGGGCACGCGGGTGCTCGTTGGGGGGTGGGGGTGGCGGCAGCCTGTAAGCAGTCTGTGCTCTGGGGACCCCACTCCCTAAGAGTGACAGCCACTGACGCTGACAGCCACCACGACTCGGCAACCTCCCCAAAACCCACTTTCGGCACCAGACAAGTTGGGACAGTGAAATACCTCGAGGTCCAGGTAAGAACGTCTACGGAAGAGCAGAACCTACATCACTTCCTACACTCAAGTTGGGGTGATCTCCCGTATGTCGCATAGGGGCTACCCAGTGGTAGCCCAGATCAGCCGGTCCTTCTCCACACAATCAATCCTTTCACCAAATCACCAGGTACCAGGCACCCGGCCAGGCCCTGACCCTAACCCCAACTCCCTGCAGGAGGCATTTAGTTATTCCTCAGAACCCCAAGGCCATGGTCAGAACCCTGGGTCGGCTCAGGGAGACAACAGAGCCCACCAGGGATTGGACAGACTCTACAAATATGAGTGTTCAGACAGTGCCAGAGAAGGGGCTTTACCCTCTGTGATGACGACTGCTTCTTCCTCGCCATGCAGGGTGTCCTCCTGGAGGCTGATCTCCTCCTCCAAGCCATTGACGGCAGACAGCTGACCATTCTTCTGTAACAGCTGTGGGAAGAGAACAGCAGTCAGCTTAGCCTCAGTCTTCACCCAAGGCAGCAGCACTTCAGTGCCTCCAGGAAGATAAACTGGCCAAATACAGAGAAATGGAAGGTCTACGACCAAAAGATTTGTCTTTTATGTATTTATCTGAATGATCCAGCTGCTAACAATGGTACAGGAAGTACTGCCAAGCACGTGGGGCTTTGCTGCTGGATCAGGGTGCACCTCATCCACTCACGCATTCATTCACCTGAACATCATACATGTACACACCCACATGCCAGGCCTATCTGAGACATCAGATGGTCCAGCTGGAGGGTCCGGGTACCGGGCGGAGGGGTGGGTAGGGGAGGGCTGAACTTGACCCCTGCTAGTTGGGGGTGGGGCGGGGGTGGCTCCTCCCCTTGGCCTGAACTCTCACCCCTGAGAAGGCAGGGAGCAGAGCTGAGCGGCCAATTAGGAAGACTTCGCTAGGGAGCCAGGTGTGGGGGCTGTGGCAAGCGGTCGCCCTGAGGTCAGCTGGTCAGCAAGTCTTCAACCCCCCCCACCCCCTCCCCGTGCAGATAGCTGCACCTTCCCTTCTCCCTCTCCCCTCCTAACTCCTTCTCTCCCTCTACCTTGTGGATTAGAACAAACTGTGTTATTTTGTTTGTTTTTGCTGCACCAAAGATGCTTTTGTTTGCATCTGTGGCCGTGGGTGGCCAGACCCAGAACTGGTGAAAGAGGTTCTGGCCGATGACAGCTTTAGACCTTTTGCCCAGTGACAGTCCCAGCTTACCAAAGCTGTGGGGCACAAACTTTTACAAAATACCTCTTACTTCAAATGCACCCTGTGCTTAGAAGCAGCTCCTGCATAAGGGAATGGCAGATACATAAGCGACAGCGTGTCCTTCCCAGGGAAGATATGTGTTTGAACAAACAGTTATTAAACTGCAGTTATGGAAACTGTCCTGAGGAATACATGAGTGGGAATAAACAGGGGGACCCTCACCTAAGTTGGGGTGTCAGGAGGGCTTCTGTAAGGCATCATAGAGAAAGGTGGCGTCTAAGTTCTCAGGCAGGGAGAGAGCAAGAAAGGGCAGAAAGGTTGCAAAAAGGAGACCCCATGGTGCACAGGCCAGAATGTCCAGGCAACATGATCCGTGTGAGATACGTAACATATGCTCCTATCGGTTATGATTTTCCTTACAAACACCACTGAAATGGACATCCGTTCTCGCCCTGATAGGGTGCTCTGTGCAGCTGATGTCAGTGGCAAAGGAGGTATATGGACCAGCCCGTCACACTTGTAGCCATACGATGATAGTAAAGAGTTTTACACCAAGGAAAGACAGCACGTACCCTCAGGAACCTCAAGATTTCCCCCAAGGGGCCCTGCCCGATGGGCGCAGCACTGTGACGCTGGCTGCAGCCACTTCAGCACGAGTTCAATCCCCAGCCGGGGGTGCCCCACAGGGCGCAGCAGACCTCTCCTGCCTTTGTAAATCTTCCTGTTCTGCTCCCCATTCTGTCTGGTCAATCTCTCACGGCCCCTGCACCTGAATCCTCTCACTGCCTCTGCACCTCTGACCTGTACCCCAGTTCTTGTAAGCACAAATAAGTCTTTAAAAAAAAAAAAAAGATTTTCACCGTTCATTAATCATCTCTCACTGGCCTTCTGTGGTGGTGCAACGGGTTGGGACACAGACCTGCAAGCCAGCCACAGCCGCTTCAGTGTGGGTTCGATTCCCGGCCCCAGAGGTAACCCACATGGCGCGGCAGACCTCTCCTGACCCGCCCGCTGCTCCCCTCAGCAGTGTACTTTGTCGATCTGCCTGTTCTGCTCCCCACTCTGTCTCTGGTGAAGCCTCTCATCGCTCCTACACGTCAGGTATGCATAAGCAAATAAAACTTTAAAACAAAAAAATCATCTCTCACTTGTCTTAATTAAACCCAGTTCAGGCAGGTGTTAGTATTCCCACTGCACAGAGGAGGACACTGGGACTCGGGGTGAGTCCCCTGGGTGGGACTGGCCCCAAGACCAAGACTCAGCACCAGCGACTGCCATGGTTTCCCCAGCGTTTCCCCAGGACACTATGAATTGTTGAAGGTCCCGGTACTATGCAAATGAAAGAAATGCCATAAAAAGTATCCCACAGCACCCAGTTCTGCCCACCCCCAAGAAAGCTCAAAGCTGACATCCATGCTGCTTCTTCCCTGAGCGGCACATGACCCAGCCGCTGGCCGGAGCAGAGCCTGGCACGACGGCCGTGCAGGACAGTCGGCCCAGAAGCCTTGAGATGTACTAACTGATGCCACCTGGCCATGGCCTGTTCCCAGCAAAGCTGCCCTTCAGCTGCAAGAGCTGTCTCCAGAAATCACAGCTCCGTGTTTTAATACTTACACTCCGGCTGGAACAGCCGGCTTCAAAATGCCCATGCTGAGTCTGGTTATGAGACCGACGACTCAGATTACATTTCCACTTAAGGTCTTCTCTTACCCAAATATGAAAGATGGGAATTTTAAATGAAACCTAAGGATAGAGACAAGAAGGACGATGGGAGTGGAGGTGGGGTGGGGCAGGAGCCGTCACAATGCTGTCACAGCAAAACTACCAGTGTCAAGGGGGATTTGGGACTCATAGAGTTTCAACTCTATGGTCACTAGTTGCGGACCCAGGTTCGACCTAGACTGACCAGTGACAGGTGATGAGCTAGGAAAGGAAAGAAGGAACCTAGAGAGATGGGCTTCACAGCCGCCCAGTGAATTAAGCGTCAACCTAAAATGCTGGCATATACTCGTAAGTCATTCTTCCAGCTCAATTTCAATGGGATAAGCGTGTGCCCCTGGGAAACCAGAGCCCTGACGCCCCATGGAGTAGTGAGTTCTCTGGACTTTCTCTCACTGTGAAAAAAATTCTCATCCTTCTTTGCGAACTGTCCAGGGTATTTAACTGGAGTCCATGAAGGGTCTACAAGGGCACACACACTTCTGTCAACTCTTTTTAAAATGCCACATTTTATATGATAAAATCTATTAGAAGGCAGAAAGTGAGCCTTAAAGACTGAGATCACCCCCAGGGATCACTCTACCACGTCTCTACTTGGGAAAGGCACCAGGCAAATGGCCTTTCATGGCAATTTCTGACAGTGACAGTGTCGAAACTGAGTTTTGAGACTAGTTCATCCTATGCATACCTTGTGCCCCACCAGCACAGCCAACCTCTGACCCCCAAGGGATGTCTCAGGGGAGCATGCAGGGCCTGTGACGCACCAACTCTGCACACAAAAATAGAACTTCATCCTAGCCCTCCTCAGACATTTCCACATTTCTGTCGTACTTACAGATGCTTTGGCAAAACCACACACATTCTTGTACATGGGTAATTCACCTTTTGGCTATGCAAAAAAAAAAAAAAAGTAGTGTTCTTGTTTTCCTTTCCTCCCATGCCCAACCAACTAAATAATTTGTACTATTGTTGAGCCCAGGTTAAGTTATCAGTTAAGTTCAAGTCAGTTCAAATAGTAAGAAACCCAACCCAGTGTTAATGTTTAAGTCCTTTCTGCTTCTCCATGCGTTTTTATGTACACAGGCATTCTTTCAACAAAACGAGTGAATGCCTGCTGTTTATAACCTGATTGTTTCACTTTCTATGGATGCCTTTCCTTATCAAAAACACTTATCTTGTTCATCCTAAATCACTCTTTTTCCTCTGTAATTCAGATGTCCAGGGCAGACAAAGATTTTATCAGTTATGCATACACAGACCCTGAAGACACACCTCAGTGAGGGGGGTGGGTTTGGGCGGGGGTGGGGGATGGGGTGCTCTCTAGCTCAGGAGTTAAAGCACTCTGCTTTAGGCTTCCTACAAGTAGGAAATCTACTTCACACTGAAGCCTTCTTACAAAGTTCGACCTGTCTATCCCATTCTTAATTTTATGAATATTGAGAGATGAGCACAAGACCTGAAAGACATGTTCTCCTTGTGCTTAAACTTAGTAAGCACCAGAAAACCCATTTTCCCACTAGGTTTCAGCTTCAAAAGCATAATGCCTCCTTTGAGCAATCAAAACCCTCAATGTTTTCAAGCTTATATCCTTTGAGTGGGTCAGCCAGAGTTTATTCCTGTAAAGTATTACCACATTACAACTAAACAAGCTTAGAAAAGGAAAAGAAACTCAAACGCTTCCAGCAACAGTGCTTTCTTCTCATTCCTGCAAGAACAGCTAAGAACATCCAAGATGGCAGCCAAAGCAATGTGGAAAAAACCACAGATGCTGGGTTCCTTTCCCACTGCAAAGGCCTGGGACTTGCTTTGAACCCTCTGGAGAGTAAGTGGCAGGAGGGTCAGCAACTAATGGCTGTGTTAGAAAAGAACAAGACAAATGTCTGACCCTTGTCAGAATGCTGGGATCAAGGGGATGAGGGCACCAGGGGCTAAAGTCACAAGCGTCACCACTGAAGCCATGATCTGGGCTCTGCAGGCTCATGGTGTGATCAGCACATCCCACAGCAGATGAAGCCACAGACCAGTACAAGGCATCCAAGCACCTTGAAATAACAGAGGCAGAGCTAAAGCGCAGCACGATAAAGTTGTCCTCAGCCCCTGCAGCACGAGTTCGATCCCCAGCCAGAGAGCTGCCCCACAGGCAGGGCGCGGCAGACCTCTCCTGACCTGCCCGCTGCTCCCCTCAGCAGTGTACTTCG